CATCGTCAGTGGCATGTGGATTTTCAGGGTGAAGCGGCCGCCGGGTTCTCCGCCTGTCTTCAAGGCGCGTTACGTGGCTCGTGGCTTCAGTCAGCGGCAGGGAGTTGACTACTTTCGGACCTTCTCTCCCACCCCGAAGATGACCACTCTTCGGGTACTGCTGCACATAGCTGCTCACCGCGACTACGAGCTGCACTCTCTTGACTTCAGCACTGCTTTCTTGCAGGGCAGCCTGCACGAGGAGATCTGGCTACGTCGCCCACCTGGCTTCACTGGGTCCTTTCCTCCTGGCACCCAGTGGAGCCTCCGGCGGCCAGTCTACGGTCTCCGCCAGGCACCACGTGAGTGGCACGACACACTGAGGACTACACTTGCGGCTCTTGGGTTTGCTCCCTCTACTGCCGACCCGTCGCTGTTTCTGCGCACCGACACTTCTTTGCCGCCGTTCTACATCCTCGTGTACGTCGACGACTTGGTCTTCGCCACAGCTGACACTACTGGACTCGCCCACGTGAAGTCCGAGCTGCAGAAGAGACACACGTGCACAGACCTGGGTGAACTGCGTAGCTACCTTGGCTTGCAGATCACCCGGGACAGAGCACGCCGCACCATTACCCTGACTCAGTCACACATGGTGCAGCAGGTCCTTCAGCGCTTCGGCTTCACGTACTCCTCGCCTCAGGCCACTCCTCTGCCTACTCGCCACTCGCTCTCAGCTCTGCCTTCGGATGAGTCCGTAGAGTCGAGTGGCCCGTACCCAGAGCTTGTTGGCTGCCTCATGTACCTGATGACCTGCACACGACCTGACCTTGCATACCCTCTTAGCATTCTTGCACGCTATGTTGCTCCTGGGAGACACAGACCGGAGCACATGGCTGCAGCGAAGAGGGTGTTGCGCTACTTGTGCAGTACGTCGGGCATGGGGCTTGTGCTTGGAGGGCAGAGTCCAGTGGTCCTCACTGGGCACGCAGACGCTTCTTGGGCTGACGACCAGGCTACGCAGCGGTTGTCACAGGGTTACACCTTCAGCCTTGGTTCCGGCTCTATTTCGTGGCGGGCTACCCGCTCGTCTTCTGTTCTCGGCTCCAGTTGTGAGGCTGAGATCTACGCCGGGGCCATGGCTGCACAGGAGCTTCGCTGGCTCACCTACCTGCTGACTGACCTCGGAGAGCCGCCTCGTTCTCCTCCAGTACTGTACGTAGACAACAAGGCCATGCTGGCCTTGTGTCGAGAGCAGAGACTGGAGCACAGAACGAAGCACATTGCTCTCCGCTACTTCCTTGCTCGTGAGCTACAGCAGCGTGGTCAGCTGCGGCTTGCGTACGTGGCCTCTGAGGCCAACACTGCTGATATCTTCACCAAGGCACTTGCGCCTTGTGATCATCAGCGCTTCTGTACTCAGCTGGGTCTTGTGCCTACCTTGCCCCACTTGCTCACCCCTTGACCTTGTTTGTACTGTTGCATATATATATACACCTGCTCTTGCTTGTCTAGCCTTATATATATATGTAATCCTGCATGTGAACTGGCCTTGTGGCCTTGAACTTGTGCTCGGAATGTGTGGTGACTTTGTGATCCACCCTGAGCTTGTTTTTGCTTTGCTTGACTGGTCTTGTGGCCCCTTGTTCTCCCCCACTTTGCCTATGGGGGTGTGTCAGATTTATATGACATAGCTACTGTAGGCTATAGTGGGGTAGCACATATGGGGTACAGTTTTCCTAGGGTTTGCATTTGTACCCAACTTTCCCTTAGTCATTTCATTCCTCGTTTCTTCTCAAAAATATCGTGCCCATCCAGTGTCGTTGCGAGCAGTTCCTGTGTAAACCCGAAATTTTCCCCGCAGCGAACTTTGACTCTCTCTACCTTTTCCCGTATGGCCAGTGGCGTGCCGTCGACTAAGCGTGCGTCTATCTCCGGTAAGCAACAGCTAAGTGTCAGCTGCAGTTTTCGTGCGGTTGCGGTATTAACTAAACTGTGGCTTGCTCCTCCGTCGATAAAAATCTTCACTGCTGCTCCCTGTATTTTCCCGTGGATCAGTACTGGGCAATCCGTCGCTGTACCCTCCTTATTCGTTCGAGTCCGATCGATAGCATGAATCGGTACTGTGACTCGGTGAGGGTCGGTGGGGTTGGGCGAGCAGGCAGTCTCGTCAGTAGTTGGCCCGGTTCCTACTGACTGCTGGCGTTTCCCTGCCTTGGAGACTCCCTCCCCTGCTCTGCTCCGCGGCGCCTTAGCTCCTCTGGGCATTCGCTCTTGCGATGGCCCGGCCTGTTGCAAGCAAAGCAGCGCCCCTTAAACGGCGCGGCAGCTGCATTCGTCGCAACAGCGTGTACAGTGGCGTGCTCGATCAATCCCCGAGGACGATGTCCATAGTAGGACCCCGGTCTCGGACGGCGTAAAATGTCGATTTTCTCGGCGAGCGCGAGAATCTCGTTGAAGTTCGAGAGCCCGCGTAGCATGATTTCATGCGAGATGTCCGGCTTCAGCCCTCTGACGTAACGGTCCACCCGCTCCGCTTCGTGCATGTAGCCGACTTGCTCGCATAATGCGAGAAAACCACTCGTGTAGTCTTGAACCGATCCGAGCTGCCGCCAAGTGCGCAATCTCTGACGCGCCGAAATAGAAGTCGCGATCGGCTCGAAGCGCGCCCGAAGCCCTGCGCACCACGCATCCCACGTGCTGTATTGGGCGGTCTCGCAGAATGAACTCCAGGTGACAGCTGGGCCCGTGGGCCCTTCCTCTTGCGACGGTGGCTCGTAGGCGCGTGGCGACGTCACGATGACTCGCCACCAGTCCATGGCTGGGCCCCTTAGCAGCGAAACTGCATACCGAATCTTCGCTGCGTCCGACTCGACGTAATTCGCGTCGAAGAAGACGTTCATCGTGAAGACCCACGATTGAACCGTCGGACCTCCACGCTGGCTCGGGTCGAAGCAGGGCGGGCGTTGCGGCTTGAGTGGCATTGGTGCCATGATGGCCTGTTCGCCACTTGTCGCCGCGAACTCCACGTGCCGACGGGCTTCGCGAGGCTCCCGCGGGCTTGGTGCGACCCTGTTTCCTCCCATGCCAGGCATCGGCTGGGCGGCGCCATCGCTGGCTGCGCCTGAGCGCTGTCCCACGCTGTTGTTTTGTGTTGGTGTGCCGGACGAGATGACGATCGGCTCGTCTGATTGTGCAGATGCATTTGTCGGTGCGTGTGGTGGCGCTGGAGTGTTCATCGTTGATTGCTGACGCGCGGAGTCACGTTCCGCCGTGAGCGTCGCAATTTCGAGCGCCGAATCCTCGAGTTGGCGCACCAGACGGTCGAGCTGCTCCTGCGTCAATGTGGCGAGCGTGAATTCGGCCATGGCGGGGGTGTCGGGCGAGCTCAGCGAGAGCCTCAGTCGTAGCCGTGCGTGCTTACGAGAGAGCACTACGAGCGGCGGTGCTTGTGTCGCTGAGATACGTCCACCCCCCCCAAAAATTGAGATAGTGGGGAAGCGAAGGTGTGGGTGCGGTCCGAGAGGAGATCGTAGGCTCTGATACCAAGTGTTACGAGTGCAATTGAGTGAACGAACGAGAATTGCACTATCGAAGCAAGAGTACAATGAGCGAAGGCATGAGCGAAGAATATATAGCGAAACTACAGTGGTAACGGTAATAGACTGTGGTTGTCGCGCGACGGGCCTGGGACTGAGGTTGGGAAAAAGTGTCGAAGCGGAGGCCCGGAGCGCGGGTTACCCGCCGAGCCGTGAGGTCGGGGTGCGATGTGCGAAGGTGGCGGGCAGATTGTCGATGCGAGGGTTGCGAGTGGTAACGGTGCTGATTGTGGTGCTACAGTGATGTACGCGTTGAGCAGGGATGCGAAGTAAGGAAAAGGAATTTTCCTTACAAGCCCGCTAGATTCATGTCACCAAAGCACGTTGACCACTATCGATGCTGTAGCATCCTCGTTCACTCCACCAAAGGTTCCACATGGATTGTTAGGGCGTGTGTGATCTCGCCGAATTCAATTGTTTTGCAGTTGATGACTGACCTTGGTTAGGTTTGGATGGCGAGGTGTAAAGAATGACGAGGGGTGTGGCGAGGGGTGCGAAGGAAACACAAATCGCAGTTTGTGTCCAAACCAACCAGGCACGGAAATTGGTTCGGTGCCAAAGCTAGAACACCAGCAATTTGTGCGAGCATCCCGAAAGTCTCATGTACCAGGGAAATGTTTTGCAATTGCTTCAGAGGCAAAAACGTCAGGTGTCGCACAGTCAATTGCCAGACCAATCCCTAGACTTCGCCACCTCAAACAGGGTGACTCAGCATCAATTGTTTTGCAGTTGGGAAATATTTTCGAACTTATAAAGGTTACCCGTTTCGTGAATTTCGCTGACAAAGGCTAATAAATGTTGGGCACGCATAAGTGCGGATTTCAAATGTGAACTCGACTCGAGTCGAATAGAGCGTGTGTGCTTTCGGCACGTACGAAGCCCATGCGAATTGACGACAGCAATGCGAAGCGGAAAATTACAGTATGTTGACAGGGCGAGCCTGTACCGGGTAACATAAGGGTTCGAATTTTCGTGTTCGACCTTCCGTGTGTGATTGCATCTTGCAGTGTTACTCCCGCAATGTTCGAACTTCGGTACAAGGAAAGTCGAGTTCATTTCGCACAAATCGCCCTAAAAACATAACCTTTTACGAGTTTCAAAGACCACACACGCCCTTAGCCGCTAGTTAGCGTAGGTAAGGTCAGTTACTTTATACGGAGTACGTACCTTTTCCTAGCGCCCCTACTGTGCATTTACTGTTGATTCACGGCTTTTTATAGAAACCTGTTTCTGGAACCTGTAAGTGCCAGCCGTCAGCCATAACGATATTCGCTCGGAAGCCCGATGTCAATGGCAGCACTAAGATCTTCTGGTCTTCTCCGGGCTCCAGGATTAAGTACAACTTGCTTGATCGCGGAACACGGCACTAGTAGAGGGCGAAATTTCTCCTCGAACTGCCTGGCGTCTCGAGAATCTTCTCACATGCGATCGATACCTCTGCCGCTGGTAATGTAGAAAACCACCAGCTTTCACTGGATGGAAACTGTTGGAGTGAAGGATTGGGCATTTTCGCGCGATTGCGATTTCCACTCACACTTGAACATCAATTTGACTATATCGTCCTCCCAGTCGCGCGCCTCTCACCTTTCTTCCCGTTCCTTGACACACTTTATACAACCTATTTGTCATTGATGCGACATTCCCATTCGTCGTTTCCCAAATTGGCTCTGGTGAGCAGCGCACGCCTTGGAGCGAGAAAAGGCAAGAATACCGGACTGCCGTTCGAGGACCACAGGCGCTCCTGGACCCCAAGAGCGACGAGATACTCGCCAACGCTATTAAGGTGTGAACTGAGTTTATTTTGTGGGATATGCACTTGTGAAGCGCGCTGGCTGCTTTCCCAATTGGCTTACTTGGTGGACTCTCTACGACAAACTCGTTATAAATACGAGTATTATACAATCATGCAACCAATTAACAGCCTCAGATTCGCATGCATTTCTGGGTCGCATGGCTTTTACCCCTCCTTCTGCCATGCTCACTCCTGTCCGGACTTGATGTACCCCACCCCACACCACCACAACCCCTCCCCACCAATTGCTCCTGTGAAGGAACCGGTCGCATTTTTTGGAGGTGTGGTGGCTGGCATTCTGCGGCTGGACTTGAATGAGGAACCACTGAGAGACTGGGTGAAGCGCACTGCGGATGCTGCTGGTGTGGCCCCCGCATCCTCCAAGACATTGGTGAATGATGATGATGGTGATGGTGAGATAGTGATTGAAGATGATGATGATAGTCAACCAGTGGATATTGCGATTGAGTAGTGGGTTGTGCTTGGAGGTTGTGTGGAGGTACGCTTACCGTATAATTCATTTTCTCCGAGGACTGTTGGTCTTGATTAAACTAATGAAGCTGCAAAGTTACATGCATTGTGTCGAGACATCAAAACATGAAGTCTTAAACATATGGGAGGACTAGTACTGGTAAATCCCTGTAAGGAATTTTCTCGACATTCCTTAGCACACCCTGCAACATCACGTACAGCAGCAGCCGTTGTTCGCCCGTTACTGCTAACGGGGCTTCGCCGACTTGCGCGCACTGTTTTACCAAACCATGCACCGCTGGCCCGGCTGTGTCGGCCTACGCTTCGAGACTAGCCCGAGCCTCGATGCCAGCCTAGCACTAGCTAGCTCGCACGCACCGCGTTACCGTTTGCATGTTTCGTGTATAAATGTTCGCTCATGCCTTCGCTCACATTTTGTACTCGTTTGACACTTAGTGCAATCCTCGCCACCTCAATTCATTGCACACGTAACACTTGGTATTCAGAGCTTCTTTCTTTCGCCCCAGGTGGGGGAACACCATCGACGTAAGTGCCTGTGGACTTCCAGGATGCCATCTCTGCGTCCATGGCTGACTGCCACTGAGAGGAGTAGGGATCCTCAATCGCCTCCGCGTAGGAGCGCGGGGTCGGGATGTCTGGTGCATCCGGGTCTCCTTCAGGTGCAATCAGCATGGACACGAGATGAGGTACAGCAGCTGCAAAACACTCAAAGTCCTCCTGCCTGTCCTCAAGTACGTCCATGCCAAGAGCACACTTACCCCCGGCGGACGAAGGACAGACAGACTCAGACTCAGCAACAAGACTAGCAGCGTAGTCGAGACGACAAGCGGCATCAAAGTCAACAAGCTCAGAGACTAAGGCAGACGCAGCAGCAGACTCAAAAGAAGGGTCAGTGACAACAGTGGCTAAGAGACGCGTGACAGTAGGACTGGAAGCACGGACTAGGTCAGACTCAGGGTCCGGAACGTACGGAAGAGAGGACTCAGGAGGAGACGGCAAGGGAACACGCTGTGGAACAGAGGAAGGACGAAGTGCCATAGCGTGCGTGCCGGGGACAGGAGGAGGACGCTCACGAGGAACACGACGACCAGTGCGACCAGCGCGAACAGGCGAGGCAGGACGAGACGCAGGCTCACGACGCTCTGTAAGCGAGTCTGTCTGCTCAATGTAAGGAGAAGGAGCAGGCAGTGGAGAGCCTGGCTGTAACGGGAGGCCAGTAGAAGACGGGAGGCGAAGAACCTGGCGAAGCACGTAGTCAGGCGGTGGCAGAGACGACGGTGACGGCGGAGCAAAGAACAGTCGCGGCTGCGCAGTACCACCAGCACCAGCACCTCCAGTACGCGCACCAGTAGCTCCAGCGCCTCTAGCAGCTCCAGAACCTCTAGCTCCAGCGCCTCCAGCTCCAACACCTCCAGCTCCATTGCCTCTAGCAGCAGCACCCCCAGAACCGGTTCCTCCAGCTCCAGGTCTCCAACTCCAGGGTCGACAGCACCAGCTTCAGGGCCTCCAGCAGCAGCACCCCTAGAACCGGCACCTCCAGCTCCAGGGTCCCCAACTCCAGGGTCGACAGCACCAGCTCCAGGGCCTCCAGCTCTAGTGCCTCCAGCAGCAGCACCCCCAGAACCGGCACCTCCAGCTCCAGGGTCCCCAACTCCAGGGTCGACAGTACCAGCTTCAGAGCCTCCAGCTCCAGTGCCTACAGCAGCAGCACCCCCAGAACCGGCACCTGCAGCTCCACGGTCTCCAGCTCCAGCGCCGCCAGCTCCAGTGCCTCCAGCGCCGGCACCTCCAGCAGTAGGGCCTCCAGCTCCAGCAGGGCAACTCCTAAGGCGGGTGCGCGAAGCAAGCCACTCGTGCAGCTGCTACGGCGAGAGAGGTGACCTCTGGGACACGGCACCAGGAGGACCTCCGGCAGACTCAGCACCAACAGACTCAGTACCCCTTGGGCCAGTATCTCGAGGGCTAGCACCACCAGCCCCAAGGTCTCGAACTCCAATGCGCGGGTCTCCAGCTCCAGTGCCTCCCACACCACGGACCCCGGCAGCTCGAGTACCTCCGGTACGAGCACCTCCAGGACCCTCAGCGCCAGCAGTACCAACACCAGTCCTGGCCGCTCCAGCACCTCCAGAACTATAAACACCAGCACCCCCAACACCTCCACGACGAGCAGCTATAGCAGCTCCAACCGTAGCACCTTGAGTAGCAGCACCTCCACCAGCAGGACCTCCAGCTCCAGCATTACCACTCCTCAGGCGAGCACGCGACGCAAGCCACTCTCGTAGCTGATGTGGTGAGAGAGGCCCCCGTCGTGAAGAGAGACCCGGAGGAACGCCAGCTTCACCCCCAGACCCGGCACCCTCCGACTCAGCACCCCCAGTCTCCGCACTCGTAGGCTCAGCACCCCCAGGCTCCGCACTCGTAGGCTCAGCACCCCTAGGCTCCGCACTTGCAGGCTCAGCACCCCCAGGCTCCGCACCCCCCAGCACCTCACGCATAGGCTCAGCACCCCCAGACGCAGCACCCTGAGCAGTACCACCCGCAGCAGCACCTGAGTCGCTGGTGACCTCTACAGGCTCAGCCAAGGGGGGCGGGTCTACCTGAGACACACCTGAAGGAGCAGGACCCTGAGGGGGGAGGGAGTCTACCGGAGGGGGACCTGGAGCGAGGAAAAGCGGCGGGGGAGGGAGAGGAGCAGTGCGGTAGGGGAAGAGACGATAGATAGGAACCGACTCGTCAAAGGTGACGTCCTAAGAGGGGAAGACACGGCGCGAGGTGGGGTGGTAAAATTGCTAGCCAGGCGTGTCAGGGACAAAGCCAAGGAAGAGACAGGGAATGGTGCAGGAGGAGAGCTTGTCCGCGGACGTATCGCGGACAAGGGCACGAGCACCCCAGACCCGCAAAAGCGACGCATCGCCAACCTCCCCCGTCCAACGCAGTGTGGGCAAGGTCTCCAGCAAGGAGACACGGGGCTAGAGGTTGAGCTGCTGCGCAGCGTACCGGACCGCAAACGGCCACAGAAAATGGGGAGCCGCCGCATGGATCAAAGAGGTACGCGCGATCTCCATGACTAAGCCAATGCGGCACTCAGCAACCCCATTTTGCTGCTGTGAGCCCGGAAGCGTGAACGACTGTTCGATGCCCTCCCCCTGACAGAAGGCCCGCAAGAGGTCGGAGGTGAACTCACCACCTCTGTCAGAGTGCAGACGCAGGATAGGAAGGTCCTGGCGGAACCTGCAGCGGAGCCGGAGACGAACTGCTTGGATCCAAGGGATCAGGACAGCAGGGACCTCACCCTTGGTGTGCTAGGGGAAGACTGTGGTGTAACGCGAGTAGTTGTCGACAACCAGCAGAAAGTACCGCTCACCGCCCTGTCCACGAACGTGGGCTGGGCCCCACACGTCCAGGTGGAGGGTCTGCAGAGGAGCCTCTGTCGGGGGAAACGAGGAGGACTGTGGAGCGGCGCGCTGCCGCCCCTCGATACAAGGAAGGCAGGGCAGCGCAGGGGAGGCAGGGAGGGGAGGGAGAGATCTGGGAAGACCAGACACTAGGAGGCGACGGTGCATGCCACGGAGACGTGGCAAGGAGGGGTGACCCAGGCGGTGGTGCCAGAGAAGAGTCTGGTGCGACAGGGAGCGACACGAACAAGGGAAGGTTACCTGACCTGACGCAGACACCTAACCAGTAGCAGCTACCTGAGGGGACGCAGTAGTCAGTGTGTAAAGACTCGACCCTGGCTGACGGGTGAACGTGGCCAGGTGACGGTCAGTCCGGGAGAACATACAGATCGCCACACGCTGTCCTCCAGGGGTAAAGGTATCAACCCATGCATCCTGGAGGACTGCGTTGCTCACCAAGTTCGTAGAGAACGAGGGGAGGTGAAGATCTGACAGTGAGCCAGAGGGAACCGCCGGGCACGGAAGCACAGTGGTGGACCGTGCAAGAACTGGGCCCCCTGAGGGGTCAGCCAGAGACACTGCAACATGTGCAGGGAGTGGCGTGAGTGCGGTACTGTCTCGAAAGAAACAGCGGGAAGCACCTGAGTCAAGCGTGAAGGTGTGCAAGGCCAATGTAGACGCAGTACCTGAGAGAGCAGACTCTCTAGCACCTAAGGCAGCAGCCTCACTAGCACCTAGAGCAGCAACCTCTATACCGGGGTCGTACTATACACACAGGTAACAGTCACTCTCAGCACCACCAGGCAAAGCATACATGGCAGTAAGAATGGCGTCATAGTCTAAAGCAAAGACATCAACGCCCGACGTAAGCAGCTCAAGTAAGTGGGGGATCTCAACATCGTCGCCAAACTCTGCATGCCAGGCGTCAGTCAAATAGGAGAAGCAGCGGGACTATGCGTGACCAGGTGTCCCACAGGTCTGACCAGCTCGACGACCTGTGCGAATGACGTACGGACAGCGACCAGGATTCGGAGACGTCCCACGCTGGTAAAGCCACTCATGAAGCTGCTGGGGCGTAAGGGTCGGACGCCGCTGTAGCTGCATCTGGCCACCGCCAGAGACTCCACAGTGACTGCTACTACGGCCGCCACTTCTCCCACTGCTGCCACCACCGCCGTCACCACTCCCACCGCTACTACAAAGTCAAGTGATGGCAGGCAAGCTAGGAGGAGCGTGGCCTCTAGGGCGGTACGGAGTGAAGGCAGTAGTACGAGTAGCGGCAGCAGCAATACGAGCAGTAGAGCGGCTCATGAGGCTAGGCTGCAGCACCTCTAGCACTCCTAGTAGCACCTCCACCAGCAGCACCAGTAGCACGAGCAGAAGGGAGGATCGTGTTGGGTGGCGCGGCTCGGCCTGGGCGGCGCGGGCAACAGGGCGCGCACTATGGAGGGCAGCAGGGCGTGGCGCGCTGGCTGCAGCAGGGCGCGACGCGCAGGGCAGCAGGGCGCAACGTGCGGGCTGCAGCAAAGCGCGACGCGCAGGGCAGCAGGGCGCAATGCGCGGGCTGGCGTAGGGCGCGACGCGC